GCGGACCATTTTCATTTATATAGTGCTCTGTGAACACAAATTAGTTAGTATAAATAAGTTAAATGACGAAAAGTGTACCACATGGTATTTCAGCTGGAACATAACACTTTACTAATATGTTACCATATTATGCTTGAAATAATTCAGACATTGTTTTTGAACAACATATGAAGAGGATATAGTTAATCTGTCCATTGCCTCAGATTTTGATTGTGCAGTGCCAAAACGTCTTTTTTGAGGACTGTGCCCCCCTTTTAATAAATAAGATTTTATTGTGCAATATGTGAACATTGTATATGCATTTTTAACCCTTTATCTGCACATAAGTGCCGACTAATTTAGTCCAGTGGCATATTCTTTATTAGTAAATAAAAGTACCTTTATTGAAATAGCTCCATGCATTCATTTAAAAATTGAATAATTATTTTTAAATCATGTGAATAAGACTGGGGTAGGGAGTTTACATGTATCAAGTTACATATTATATCATGACTTGCCTATCACAGTTTGTCTTGTATTGTGGGCCTAGTGTACCATCTCACCCATAGCGTAAATAAATTGGTAAATAGTAAAGCTCAGGGGAGATAACAGACAGTGAATGCTATCAGATCCATAAGTTTAAACTAAAAAGGTCTAGACCAGATCTTTAAACTGATCTGAGAGAGAAAAGCCATCTGTCTGTTTCTTCAAGTGTTGTATTAGGTACAATATATTGTTGCGTCAGCGAGGTCCCGTGACTCGTTCTCTCGAACCTTCGGGAATAGTCGGGAGATTACTAGATATAGGGTAGACTGGTATATATATAAGAGGGTGACAACGTGACGGGATAATGTGTGTGTAGATAGTGAGTAATTGAACTGCAGTCAGAAGTATTGTTGACGTTCGTTGATATAGCGTTTGTTATAGAGCGACTGTTGAAAATAAGTGTATCGTAAAGTTGTATTCGGAAAGAATAAACCAGTTTTATTAAGTAAGGACTTGTGTCGCTGGAACGAAGTTACGGAAAGTTAATTAACGAACGGAGACGTAACAGTACGATAAAACGTGCGCCTTTGCGTTTAATAAATAACATTGTTAAGAGAAATTATTATAGAAAAAAGGCTTAAGTATAAGTATAAACACTGTATCTTTAAAATAATAATAAATATCAATATAAAAACACTGAGAATCCGGAATGGGTCGCATTAATGACAACAGGGAGAAGTTTACGTTATTATTTAGTGTTGGGTGATAATTGAAAATGAAGAGGCTTTCTTTAATAAAGAGTTCGTAATCTGTGGTTCGGGGTTCGAGAGCTTTAAAGTTGTCTAGAAGTATTGGGTGGTTGTTATTCTCACTGTGCAATCGGATACAGGACTCAGGTGGATTACTTAGCTTATATCCGCTTCTTGCTGAAATTCCCATGTGCTCTTTTGTACGTATTTGTAGGTGGTTTGTAGTTTTACCAATATCGGTAGCATTTATATACGACACATTAGCCCATAGGAATGGGTTTTTTAAAGCAAAGGCATAGGTTAATGAACTATCCGCGATCCGTCTACCGCAGGGAATTTAACTCAGAATTTTAGTATTGTAAATCCTTAAATTTACCAAAAAACTACGAGTTTATATTTGCAACTGTTCCCCGATGGATCAGCAATAAGTGTATGGAGTTACAACACTAAAACAGAAGTTGAATTTCACTCCGCAGACAGAGTGCAGGTGGCCAATTATATAGCTTTGCACTAAAAAAAAACAATGTCACAAACAAACTAGCTTGATTTTACTGCTATGAACTCGCTTATCTATTTGTGTATATAAGTTGTTGTTTTAGTGCGAAGTTAAACAATGTGATATTTGTGCTCTGTCCATTGGGAGGGGGGGATTAATATTTGTGTTTATAAGCTTGTAGTTTACTGCTGTGAAAAAGGATTAATTACATTTTATTCTCTGTAAAAATGTGTAACAAAATCAACAAATTCCATATTAGAAATCTCAGAAGTTGTAAATGCTATTTATTAAATTTTGATTACAAAGAGTCTGAAATAGGTAAGAACATAGTTAAGATAGTAGAAACTTTATTTTATTTTTAATTACATAATAATAATTTGTAATTTTTACTAAGCTCAGAGGCTAGCTCACCCTCAAATTTCTTTTGCTTTCACAAATTCCCGAGCATTCCTGGTTGTTTTTCAGACTCTAAACATCCTTTGGGAGCTTGGATGATATCAAACCAAAATAACTGCCACGACTGGATTGTATTGTATTTCACTTTTAAGAGAACACTATCAACTATACCAACTATAGAGGGCGTTAATTGCCAGTAGCGGAAAAATGGCGGATAAAAGTGAGATTTCGTTAAATGGTAAACCAATTTCGACTCTTCGAGTGGTGGATCTTAAACAAGAACTCGAAAAACGGGGATTATCAAAAAGTGGAAGTAAAAAAGATTTAGTTGATAGGCTGAAACTAGTAAGCATTTGTTGTATGATGTAGTATAGAAGTAGTCTTGATAATTTAGGCTTAGCAAAAGAACTGTGTGTGAACTCGTTAGGCTTAGGTTAGGAGTGTTGGCACTTTTAAGTTAAAAAAATGTAAATACTATAAATTTTAGTATAAGGGTCCAAAAGTAATGTCACTTCAAAAAAATTATCACAAAAATTTAATTACTATAAGCTATCCAAAAAATAACACATTTTAGCCTAAACTGTTGTTATGAAGTATGAAATAAAAGAAATATTAAGAGTTTGGAGCATTCTAACAACTCGAGATTTTAACCCTACAGCTTACGTGTTACCAATACCATTCACAATTCTGTTAAAGCATTCCTAAATACCAAACGAAATATAACGTAATGGAACTATTAAACACGGAAATGTTACAAAGAGAAATCTAAAATAGAAATGAATTGCAGTGAAATAAAATTACTTTACAAATCATATGTTACATCATCATTAAATCACATGTTACATTAAGGACTCAAATTATCTGCTTGGAACTGTTGATATTTGCAGTGGCATAGCAAGGGTTCTCAGCACCCGGGGGCAAAGACACTTTTGGTGCCCCACCTCTGAAATGTTTTGATTATTTGTTTTGTGACTCATTACCCACTTAATGACAATAACATAAAGAATTAATTACCGCCTTACACAGGCCTAAAATAAAGTCACAGTATAACATCTCACGATATCACAACTGTAAACCTGGAACTAATGAAGTATAGCCTACTAGGTGTACTTACATAATTTATAAACCAATATGATATTTATGTCATCCAGTATTGTTCAAAGTCACATAGCTAGAGTAATCTTTCAAGCATGCAGAATAAATTTCTGTTATATATCTAGTTTTGAAACTTATGTTTTATATGAGAAGCTAGTCACTTGTGGTGTACATGGATTATAAAACAGATTGATAAAATACTACTTAAGTTTACAAATAACAAATTTTATTAGTTTACAAAACTCTACATATACTTAACAAGATCTTGTACAGAT